AGGGAAGCCCTATTCATTGCCTACCTGAGGGGGTGTTTACGAAATTGAGAGGATGGAAAGCGAATGTCCGGCGCTTTAATTGGGTTGGTGGACATGGAGAGTCCACCTAGGGGAGTTGGAAAACCCTCGTTCCAAACCAATGGTGCACATTGTCCCCAGTATCCTGAATAAACAAATGGCGTATGAACCAATTGTTGATCACCGGCGAACATGTGACTGAATCTCCTGACGTTGCTCCATTGCCTTGTGGATCAGACCTCCAGGTCGACGGCTCAGGGTATGGCTCCCTAAGAAAACCACCTGCGTCGGTTTGGGCGTCCGGGCAGTATCACAGTCCTCACACATACCAAATGTGATTTATGTGGCGCATATGTATTTGGTGCCTCCTTGTGCCAATATCTATGTGTTAAAATAAATAAAATAATAACTGAAGTGTTAACGGTAAGTCCGTCGCCATCTGCCCAACTTTGAAGTAGATTCAGATCCTCCTGAAGTGCCAGTTTATTATCTTAGTTGTATACTTCTTTCCAGAGTTTCACATCATCAGCGAAAAGTAATAAGCCTAACGATACCTGTTGTGGAAGATCGTTTACATAAAACAAGTGAAGAGTAGGTCTTAGTAATGAACCCTGGGGGATCACACTAGAACATTCCATAGCTTGAAAAAAAGTGAAGTTAGCCCTGACCTTATAATGTCAATTTTTAGATATGAAGTGGGCCAATCAATTAAAGGTGACTTGATACCCAACCGTGTGGGCTTATTGATAAGATATATGGTTGTCCCTATCAAAAGCTTTTAAGAAATCAAGATATATGACGTCAATCTTCCCTTTGCCATCAACGATGGTTGTTCATATGTCCACCGCAGTCAGCAGGTTGGTTATCTAAAAGTGACCTTTTCTGAAGCCGTGCTATTGGGGTGAAAAGAATTTTAAGGATGATAAATAGTTTTATATACCGTCGTATATCAGGGACTCCATAACTTTTGAGAGTATAGAGAGAAGTGCTACCGGTCATTAGCTCGAAGGTTCGTTGCGTCGACCTCCGTAGAAGATTGGTGTGATGTGAGCCAGCTTCTGAATTTCGGATAATGTGCCTCAGCTTAGTGAATATGAAAACAGCACGCTAAGCGGAACAGAAATAATAATTTAAAAAAAAGAGAAGTTAAAGTCATAGAAAAATGAGGGACCGAACATGCTGTTTTCGTACATAAAGGCTGGGCATGAGTTGGTGCATAGAACTAATCTAGGCTGTACATAAGTTTTTTATGCGTTCCTGTTGGGTTGACTCTCCCGACTGTGTATGATTTTGAAGGCTTCTGGTGAATTAGAGTGACTAGAGCTGACAAGATTTAGCTTTTGACTGACTTCTATGATCCTTTGGAGAGCCGGGCAAGGTAATGTTCGGAGATGTTTTCGAATAAGATGGCTTGGTGTGATAATATACCCTGCTCCACATGAGCAAGTAAACTGATAGTTGCAAACTGATTTGATCCAAAATGGGAAATGACACTGAGGTTATCGGAATCCAAATTTACAAACCTAACCATCGCATTTAAAACAAATCTGTACAACCACCCTCGCTAACTTGACCATCGGTACAGGAGTGAGTTTTTAGCTGAACTTTGAGTAAACCTTTTCTTTTCGAAAACATCCAAACAATTTTCTAACTTCTCCCACTTTTGTATTTTACCTAATCTTAACATCCGTCTCTCGGTTCTTACATAACCGTTATACTGACCTATCATCAAAATATTTTGTTAATCCTTTTTGATATATTACACAATGTGGCGACTGTTTAATTTTCGAATAACTACTTTGATTATTATAATCCTCTTTCTTCCAGTTACTCAATATTATTTTATAATAAAAGTGACATTATATAATTATTATGCAACGCTACCATTCGATGAGTAGTGTTTCATTGTTTATATATATAAATGTCCAATTTAGGAAGCCCAAAACGCGCATCAAAAAAGTAGCATTTTAGGACTCGAATTTAAAAACTGTATAAGTTCCTTCATGATACTTCTCTTGCCCACTAAACGAAAATTATGCGTTGCATGACATCACATTTTCCTGATGTTTAAAAGATGTCGGACATCCCAGTGAACATTTACCCCTACTAAGTTCTGAATACATTTGACTTTGCTAGACGTATTAATTGTGAACCATACGGTATGACATAATGTCAAAGCTATGTTGTATAGAACGCTTAATACTTTTGATCTACGTTGTATCTAGAACGAAGATTACATGCTAGGCACCATCCACAGGACCACTGCACAATTATGTGCTTGTGATTTACCTAAGAACTCTGTACATGATTATTGGTGATGAGAAGAAACTACAAACAAACCTTTAAAAAAAACCCGACTTCCTATAACTGCCTATTCATTTGTTTGAAGTATGTTTTGACGAACTAATAGTAGGAAAATTTTTAGAAAGGTGTCTAAATTAAGGTAGGAGCTGTGGTCAACTTAAAGATTTTGTTCATTATTATTAATAGCTCTATTCAATATTATATATTGGTACAATATAGAATTCTCAGCACGAAGTATTTCAACAAGTTTCTTTTACAAAAACAACAAAAAAGAACTGAATCTGCACAACTTTTCAGATGAAAGACGTCTAATGATACAAGTTATTGACTACGTTAACTCTAACAACGTATTCGTCACAGAGTATATTTGCTAGGTAAGGTATTATAGAACTTTTAAACCTTTGCTTGCATGCATGGATTTTAATGCATTGACGTCTCGTTCTAACAGAAGATATATAAGAAATACGTGAATGAAGGGATGTTTATTACTTGATAACACCTACCAGGAGTTTGCAAGACTTTAGATGTCTATCCACAACCATATTAATGACTTCGAAAGATTTACCTCATACCTTTTTAATTGACTTCAGAGCTCTCCGCGACACAGCAGTTTTTTTCTCAAAAGCCCGGGAAAGAATAAAGCAGAACAGCAAAGAATAACTGGTAATATGGAGGAATCGACAGATTGTAATAGTAAATGTCGAGCAATCCCAAAAACACAGCCTCCCCACGTAGTAAGTCAGACGGAAAACTTTCTTCGATAACAGTAAAACATGAGAAGACCAAGAGAGATCAGAGGAAAAGGTAACATCAAGATAATTGACCTTCGACAGTGTTTATCAAAGTCTCTAATGGCACAAGCATTATGGGACCCCAACATGTATTTAGATGCTGTTCATGTCTCAGGCTAAAGTTAGCAGCTCGACATTTAGACGGATTAATTATGAGACAGTCAACAGGCCACCACTCAATACGAGACAAAGGGTAGAAATCGGCATACATAAAAATCGTCTGCATATTCCACGAGTGTTCCTTTGGATGATGGCAGATTATGCGGGAAAAGTGAAAGAACAGCTCGGTGTGGCACACCATCACGCGACAGTATAGACGTTGGACACTTCCCTCCAAACACAGTGTACTGTCCCCTTTCAGAGAAATAAGAACATATCCAATTGCTTATCCAGCGGTCAGTGTTGAGACTGATTAACTTGACAAGTAAATTTGTCTTAGTATAGAATCAAAAGCATGATTCAGAAATGCGCATCGAACATACTTCTTACCCTTTCCCAAGCTGGACACTATGTTGTGATGCAGAACAGCAACAACACATAAAGCGCTTCTTCTGCATATGTGAGCCAACTTATACGGATCAATGTGGTCTTTTATTGTGGGTGAAGTGATAGTAACAATAATTTTTACATTGTTTTGAGGAAAGGTGAGGTTATTGCTGTGGGTCTAAATTTCAAATTCTTATCCCCAGATACTCTCTTAGGTATATGGATTATCTTTATCTTTCTCCACAATTTCAGTATGAGATTAGTTAAGGATCTGTTAAAGATAGTGGCAAATGGATAACGTTAGATTACATGAAACTAGTCAGATTTGAACATATCGATAAACT